GATGGGGCTGGAGGGCTGAGCAGGGAACAGGACAGGAAAGGCTCTCTGTAAAGCTATTTTAACAAGTTTGGGTGTTATCATAAAGCCATTGGGAAGCCCCAAGGGAAGAGACAAGGCCGAAGTCACGATATACAAAGGCAATTTATCTCCAGAGTAGAGAATGGATTGGAAGCGGGCAAGACTAACAGCAGAGAGGCAGTTTGGAGACAGCTACAATAAAGAGATGTGGCCTGAGTGTGACTCATGGCTGAGGGGCTGGAGAAGTGGATGGAACTGAGTGAAAGCAGGGCACAGAACTGCCTGGATATGGGATTGAGAGAGAAGCCAAAGTCAAGGATGACTCCAAGACAAGGACCCAGGAAAAGGAGCAGGAGTGGGAGTGGGTGATGAGCAGACAGATCTTTCCGTCAGGTGAAGATGTGCACGTTCTGGGGCTCAGGAGAATGACTGGCAGATCAGAGTGACTGTGGTGCCCGGAGTCATAGGGCTTGTCCAAATGTCAATAGTGTTGAAGCTGAGAAACTCTGGTTTAAATGTTCACATTTTTTCCAACTTACTACAGCATAATGATTCAATATCTGTATATGTTGTAAAAAGGTCCCCACAATGTCTAGTTTACATCTGTCACCATACACAGCCACAGAATTTTTTTTCTTGTGATGAAAACTTCTAAGGTTTACTCTCTTAGCAACTTTCAAATATGCAATCCAGTATGAGCTATAATCACCATGCTGTAATACCTCCCCATGACTTATTTTATAACTGGAAGTTTGTACCTTTTGACTCCCTTCACCCATTTCACCCACCCCAATGATCAGTATCTATCAGATGAAGAGCTGTTATACACCCAAAACTAATACAATGTTATATGTCAATTATATCTCAATAAAATGGGGGGGGGGAGGGAAGGGAAAGAAAAGTACAGAGAAGGCCATGTGAAGATGGAGGCAGAGACCGCAGCTACAGCCAAGGAACACCTGAAGCCACCAGGAGCTGAAAGAGGCAGGAAGGATCCTCTCCTAGAAACGGGAGGAAGCAGAGCCCTGCTAACACCTTAATTTAGGATTTCTGGCCTCCAAAGCTGTGAGAGGACAAATTTCTGTTGTTTTAAACCACCAAGTTTGTGTTTTTTCAATATGGCAGCCCCAGGAAACCAATATACCACTTCTGACATTTCTTTTATCATGGCCATTTAAGCTCCATGGAGAGAGGGGCTGTGTCCCTTTTTTGGTGCTTAGCACATAGTGGGTACTTAATATACTCGTATATCAAATGATACATCAATACCAGTGGGAAATTGCACTGACTCCACATTTCTGTGGTAGGTGAATTCTTTCCCGATACTGTATAAGGTTTACAATATACATAAAGAGGTTATATGTGAATGCAGATCTAATGTACAAGAATTAACTTGTTTTGCAAGGTCTCTTTATTAGAAGAAGAGTAATAGGGATGAGCAGAATCCTGGGCTGGGGATAGGAGCCTTGGCAGCTATTCCAACTTTCATTACTACCTCACAAGCCTCACGCAAGAGAGCTGACTTCTGTGACTCAGTTTCCCAACCATGAAAGGAAAATCCTGTCCCCTTTCTGCATACTAAGAAAGATCATGGGGGACAAGGGGGCAGCCTGTAAAGTCCTCCAGCTTACTTAAGAGAAATATAAAACGGGCCTACATTATTTGCTTTACTCTCTGGAAACCAGTTTTAAAGTTCTGTTTCTGTTTCACTTTCGGCATCAGGATTCTTCAGCCATTCAGCAAAGTATGAGACCACAGCTGCCAGTTAATAATCATTATGTCCATTTTACAGATGGAGAAACTCAAGGCAGAAGAGGGTGATATGTTCAAGTCAGCAGAGTAATTTACGAGGAGAATTCCAAAAAGATTCTGAGTCCACAACAAACTGATTCTGTGGCACCAACTGCAGAGACGGCTCTCTAAAGTGCAGTAAGTACTGTTGAAACCGTTTTTACTGTAACAGAAGTCAAAGCTGGGATTCAGGGAAGACTTGGCTTAAGCATTCCAGTGAAGAGATGCTTTCTCATTCTGTCTGTGAGTAGATTTTATGACCTGTTTACAACTTCGGCATTTGCAAACCCAGGTTAAATGAGGGTAGTAGAGAATACTTTTGGACTCTTTAAGTTATGAAATTTGAGCAATGGCCACACAAAGCTGGATTACCTTGACTAGGTAAAATAGTTGTATTTGTGAAGGTGACCAAGGACAAACACAACATAGCAAAACCAGATCTAATGCTCAGATACTTTCATTTGGCTCATAGCTAGGCAACCAGAGTTATACGCTAATCTAACAATGCATCTTAACTCAGATGGGGGGTGGGTGGAGAGTGGGTGGAGAGATGCAAGTGTTGGAGACGAGACAAGAATGACAGAATGTAGAGTACTGTTATAACTGGGTGATGGATACATGGGAGTCCATTACACTATTATATTTGCTTCATATATGTTTAAAATTTTCCAGAATAAGAGATGGCTTAGGATAGCAAGTTGCTAACCAACTTTGCAAAAGGTTCATATGGTTTTCCATGATTTATTATTGTTGAGAGAGTCCATTGCTGGAATAAAAATAGCTAGCTTTCTACCCTCTCGTCTTACAAGTACACATGATGTTAGAAGAAACAGATTATTCAGTAACTTAAAAATAATTTAGATAATGACACTTTTTCTGCTTCTTGAATTTGAGAGAGGTTTTGAAATTATTTGACTTATAGAACATTATTAATTCAATGAAAGAATGCTTTTGAGGGATTAAAAAAAAAGCCCTCAGAGAACAGCCCCATTGTGTCCTAAGCAAGTAGTTGAGCTGCAATAAATTATCCCACATGTCTTGGTAATATTTTTTTACTCTGACATACAAAGTATGCGGCAGTTATGACTATGTTAGCAGACCACATTTTCCTGAACCACAATTGGTACAATTAGTACACAACTGAAAAATTGTGTTATTACATCAAGTTTGAAACAAATAAAACATTTTGATAACATAATACACTCTCTATTACTGAAAAAGTATGATGATGTTTAAGCACAAAATGCCTCTCTAGCTTCACGAGGTCCCAATTTCAAGTACTGAGGGATTGTGAACTCATTTGTATTCTATTTACTCCTTTTTTTCTTTTCAATATCATAATCCTTCTCAGTCTTCCAGAAGAAAGAATTCGCTCAAACATTAGGAGCTTGCTTTATGCTAGGCACAGAATAAGCCAAGTCTTCCTCAAGAACAGTTTAAAAATGGTCCCCAATACTTAAATTTCTCCCTACCCTTGTTTTGTTGTTCTAATTGCTTTTCTCGGGCCAGTCTTCAGCTGCACTAACTCATTTTTTGTGTTGTTTTTCAGTATCTCTATTATCATTATTATTACAGCTTTATTGAAATAAAATTCACATGCCATATAATTCACTCATTTAAGTCAAACTAGTAAATATACTAGTTTTTAGTATATTTACAGAGTTGTGCAACCATCACAATTTTCGAACATTTTCATCACGCCAAAAAGAAACCCTGTGCCCATTAGCAATCACTCCCTTTCCTCCTAACCCTCTCAACCCTAGGCAACTGCTACTCTTTCTGTCTCTGTGGATTTACTTATACTGGACATTTCATATAAATGGAATCATACAATATGTGGTTGCTTGTGACTGGCATCTTTCACTTAGCATCATGTTTTCAAGGTTCACCCACATTGTAGCATGTGTCACGTACTTCATTCCCATTTTGGCTAAATAATATTCCATTGTATGGATATGTCGCATTTTATTTATCGATTCATCACATAATGGACGTTTGGGTTGTTTCCACTCTGTGGCTATTTTGATTATGCTATGAACATTCGGATATAGGTTTTTTTTTGTGGACATGTGTTTTCATTTCTCTCGGGTTTATACCTACAAGTGGAACTGCTGGGTCAGATGGTAACTCTATGTTTAACGTTTTGAGGACCTGCCAGACTGTTTTCCAAAGCAGGTGCACCATTTTACAGTCCCACCAGCAACGTATTAAGGTTCCAATTTCTACACATCCTCACCAATACTTATCTTTTTTATTTTTAGTGATCCTAATGGGCATGAAGTGGCATCTCATTGCGGTTTTGATTTGCATTTCCCCGATGGCTAATGAAGGTGAGCTTTTTTTCATGTGTGTATTTAACTCTTGAGGTAGCTCTGCCAGCTTCCTTTGTAATGAGAAACATGGCTTTGTATCACTAGCAAGTTTTACTGAGTTTCTTTGTGCCTAGATCATTAGAAAAATTAACACTTCCTTTTCCAGTGAAGCTAAACTGCTACTCCAACATGGTGAAAGGCTTTCTTTGCATTTTTCCAAAGAAGAAAACCCAGGACTATACTGGGTATGAAGCTAAATTACATTATCTGAGCAGTGCTTGAAGCAAGAAAAATAAGCTAAAAAATATAAGTATCATTTCAGCCTAAGTGGTGTGGCTTTGTTTTAATCTGATATAGTACACATAAGCAAATCTATTAAAAAGGAATAGAACAGTCTTAGGTCCTCATGAGAAGTGACATGACATCTTTATGTCTATTTACTGGTAAATACTTAAAACACTGGTAGAGTAAGAGGGGAGGGGAAGAAGTGTAGGAAAACCAACTGAGTGTCATCCAGTTAGGCTGGAAAAAAAAATCGATATTTTATTTACAACCTCACTTTTTCTGTTCAAATAGTCAACTCCAAGGGCTCACCCGAATTCGCTCATTGTGCTAGAATTTGGTGGTTTTGAACATCACTCTAAAAGAGCAGCTGGGGTTTGAGAACCGTTAGTTGAAATGTTTTCAATAAAACCTTGTTTTTAAAACCGCGTCCTTGCGTGCGCAGTTGCGGCCGCTCACCCTACCCTAGAATGAGGAGACCTGAGGTCATTTCCAAGTGTGACAGCCCTAAAAGTCTCGGGAGGCAATCTAAGGCCCTGATCTGACGGTTATAACAAAAGCCTTCAAACCAACCGGCGTTTCAAATTTATCACGCACCTTCCCGCCCTCACGGCCTGGGAACTTGACCTGAAGCCAAATCTCTGCCGCAGAGATTTCCTCAGAGGCGCTGACTCCCGGTTTCAGCCACCCAACTAAAAAATCGGCGGAGAAAAAAAAAAAACGCCCGTCACGCCCAGATCCGCTCACCTCACCTCCGCTCGTGGCCGGATGGAGTCTTTCTCCGCCCACCTGGCCGTTCCGGAGACTCCGCCCTATTCCCAACACATGATTGGCTCTGGTGACCGTCTCCCCCAAGTTTCGGCTCCGGATTGGCCAACTCGGCCGCCGCTCGGCTCTCTTCCCGAGGGCGCGCGGCGGGCGTGTCCACGCCCCTCACGTCCGGACGCTGGGTTGCTTCCAGAAGCGCGTAATCGCTCCCGGGAAAGAAGGAAGGCGACTGCGTGAGGAGCTGCTATGGTGTCGAGTTCCCCGGCAGAACCGACCGAAACGCGGCGGTCGCGGCCATGAAGGTGAGGGGCCGGTGGAGCAAGGCAGTCCCTCCTCGCCTCTGCTGTCCGGCCGGGGCGCCCGAATTGCCTTCTTTTCGCCTCAGCGAGTACCCCGCCGGCACCTCTCTAGAGAGCTCCGCTAAGGGGCGTCCCCGGCCGGCGTCTGGGTCCCTGACCGGCCCAGGGCGGAGATCCTGGGCTCCTGGACTTCTCCAACTCCCGCAGTGCCTCCCATCAGCGAGCCCGAGGAGGGGGAAGAGGCCGAGCACCCTCCGCGCTCACGCTGGGGGCCCCCCTCTCTGCTCTGGGCCCTGTCCGTGTCCCCGGGGGCCTGAGGCAGACCCACTAGTGCTCGCCTCAGTCCTCCGTGCCGTTGCCCGCAGAGTGCCCTCTTCCCGCCCCGAGCCCTTGAACTAACCCAAATGTCGGACACAACGCGGGACTGTCGCAGGACGGAAACTGCAGGACGAAGGGAAAAGGAGTGGTGCGGGGAGTCGTGAGGCTGGGGCCAGGCTCACAGGTTAGAAAGGCCGCGCGGGGAGGGGGGATCCCCGCCCTGAAGGATTTCTTCGTAGGCTTAACAGTGGGGCCGTGACCTAGAGCGCTCGCGAACTGCCTGCGTCTCCGTCATCACTAGGTACGCAGCAAGTAATTGGACATTTTGAGGTCTCCCAAGGTGGGTGTGAGAGCGTGGGAGCATCACACTGAGGGGGACGTGTCCGGGGGAGGGGGCGGGGGAGCGACTCGGGCCTGCGCTGGGGGAGCGGAGAACTCGGCAAGAGCTCTGTGTCCAGTCAGTCAATTCAGGTTATCGGTCCCGTTGGCCGAACTCCCGAGTGGGATGCGTCGCAAGGGGACGCACTCGCAGACACAACTGCACGACTTCTTTCATTAATCCCAACGAAGGAGGTGTTGCTGGAGGTCGGGGCGACCACGTAACAAACAAGGAGGCGCTGCTGGCGTGGAACGCTTACCCTTGCAAAACCCCCAAGATTTTCCTGGGGGAGCTTGATGAGGGGAGGAGTGTCGAGTGGCTCGAAAAATGCAGCAACTATTTTGTGGAACTTGGCCCCCCACCCCGTTGTGTGAGGGAGCGAGGGTTTGAGTTCGAGCCATTCGCAGTATGAGCACCCCCACCCTTTAGGAGGGTGCCCACCACAAGAGAGAGAGAGCGATTCTCAAGGCAACCCCATTATGAGAAATTTTTAAAATGTGAAACCCCTCATGAGCGAAAATGTTTCTGGCTGCGGGAAGCAAGGAAGCTTTCTGGAATTAGGTGACTTGTGAACTGTGCAGAGGCTATCATAGGAGCTTAGTTTGAATGCCCCGATTTAGTTGTAAACAAACCACTTAGAATAACTATTAAAATGTCTAAAACTATAGCTTTCTTGCCTGAAAAACCGTCATCTGGCTGTGTCAAGACCCAAAAACAAAGTAGGGATCTTTGTCATTATCTTTATTAGCATTAAATTCGTGGCGCGTTAAGGAACTAGATGTGTAGGAGAGACTGAGGGACGGGCCCATTGTTGACTTTTTTTAATGAAGTTCTTTAAAAACAAGTGTTTTTTGAATTTAGGTGGAAGATAACTGCTTTCTGAGTTAAAATTTTAGAAACACAGTTGGGTGGCAGTTGAAAATGTAGAAAAGATGTATATTTTATGAAGCAAAATGCAGACCTAAAGAGCCATCAATCTGAGCGAGATGACATGAAGATACTGCTTTTCATTTATGTTTTTGCGCCAACTGGATTCACAAATTTAAGATTTGGGCTATTTGTTTATTATTTAACTTTATGTATTATCGTGAAATTGTTTAATTGTGGGGTATGCTCATCTGTAGATTTCTGGGCAGGCTCAGTGATTCCCTGATGTCATGGAATTCTAACATGTGAATGTTCGTCTAAGCAAGTACTTCTTTCAGTGGAATTAAAATTACTTTAAAAGCAAAGCAATCAGATAAGTACATCTTCATTCAAACCCCGGAGCAGCTGATTTTAGTATACACTGGAATGGGTATTTACTTTCTTCCTTTAATTTGTTTGTTTAGAAAGTGATGTTTTGAAATAGGTTTTAGTCTGATGACTCAGTAACTGTTTAACCTTAGAGTAGCATCTAATTAACTCCCTATTATGGATTAAAAAAAAAATCAAAACTGACATCCTGTGTTAATTTGATTTAATCCTGCTTGTTTTTCCATATTTATATTGATCTTACCCTTCCTTAATTGTACTAATCATGTTTATTCCAAGTTCAAAATGAGATATCAAGGAGAAAGTAATCTGTTGACTGTAATTTCCTTTTTTTTTTTTCTCTGAAAGGTGGGGGAGTGGTGCTAAGGATCAAGTATACTGTTTAGAAAAAGAAAACAAAACCCAAACATGAGGAAGGTATGATCTCCAGCACACATTGTAAAACTATCAATTTGACCAAATGTCTTGCTTGAAAATATTACAATATCAGCATTTGTTTTTGCAACCTGCTTAATGTCCAAATGGTATGGAAGAAAAAATTTAAGATGTAGGTAGAATTTCCTTCTTTGTAGTATATGGTCTGATATTTGGTCATTAATATAGCAGAGTTCCTTGCATATTGAGACAGTGGTTTCAATAAGAAATTCTTTCAACATTTTAAGGAGCATATGTTTTTCTGGTGACCCTAAATAGGGTAAAGGTTTTTACTTATCACAACTGTTTCTTCTGTTTTGCTTTAAGTTCTGAAGGAAAGTTTAACCTAATTGAAATATAAACTGTAAAACTTACTGTTTTATATATTACTAATTTTAAGATTTGAAACATGTTTTCATAGTTTAACACAAAGACATTGAGTTTTAGCAAACTGAAGGTTGTTTGGAGTTGAAAACAAAGCCTACAGTGGTTGAATTCTCTGAGGAAGCTTTCATCAGCAGAAGCACTGAGTCTCTCTGCCTGGGCCTTGTAGCTTCTTACCACATCTGAGAAAATTAATTGTTCTTGAATTTGAAACTTAAGGTTCATCCTTAAAATAACTGTGTAATATATTATTATATTTATTTTAGAGTTGTGGCAAGCAACCCTTAGGAAGTAGCATTATGATGACTGCTGCTTACCTAGTTTAATCAAAAGCAGATGATTTAGACTGTGATCATTTAGTTTCTGCTTTTTCAAACCCATCAACTCTCTCTCCTTTTGGCTGTCATTTAATCTTCATGGAAACCACCATAGCTTTTCTTATTCTTTCATTCTAGTTTGCCTGATTATTACTACATTTGGTGGGATCACATCCTGATGTAGTTTAGAACTGGATTCAAAATTTGTAGTAAACTTTGTGTATATTCTTTAAATTGAGCATTTTGGAAGTAGTCCCGCCCCCCGGGATTCTAAAAGCATATTAGATCATACACAAACACACACAATCAAAGACAGCTGAACCTTGAGGCCATTTGAAAACTGGCACTCTGCCAGAAAGAAGAATGGGCTGCTGCTCTTGCAAAGAAACAACACATTTCCTCTTGTTTTGTTGACAGATGATCCAGAATGGGCTTATATCAGGTGAATCTGACTGAGGAACTTGAGAGAGTGCTTATAAAATTGGCAGTTTGTTATTGTTGTGGAATTAAAGTGTCACAGCACTGGAAACTGTCAGTCCCACTCTCATGCACATTGTTTAGGTTTGTGGATAACACTCCACTCCCTTCCTTTATATTCCTACAGAGGGGACAGAATTTGTAATTCATTCTCTAGGAAGGAACAATGTAGGAGGAACTCTCAGCCTTGCTGCTAGCACAGAAAAAAAAGAAACTTTTATGTTGCTGAGCTTTAGCAAAGGAGCTAAACATGCTTTGGCCCAGTACTTCCTGGGACTTTCTCACATCTGTTTTCCTAAAGGGGGATGATAAGCTGCTATTGGTCAGCTGTGGCAGTGCCTGGGTGTCATACCATCAAGACCAGTTGGCTGTAGAGCTATAGTCTGTCTTTTTATTAATTCCAAATTGGGAGTGAAAGAAAGGAGTAATTAGCCCTCAAAAATCTTAGTGCACTGGCTTTGGAAAAAACGCAAGAACTGGTATTGGGTATCAGAATAACATGAGGAGACCTAGGTGTCTGTTCAGACAGGAGGCTTTAGAATTTAATTTACTATGGGCCATGTAAGTTTTTAATATGATACCTGGTTCTTAACTGATAACATCTCATGGCTAATCTATTAAAGGCAGCAATTTTGGCCTAAAGGGGTTTGTAGGAAAGGGATTAGATTATCAAGGAAAAGTCATTTATTTTCAGTAATTATTGATGGCTGGAAAATAAACTGCAAACAGCTAAATTCCTTCAGCTAGGACTTCTGTGACAAGCATAGGTAGCTAGTTACCTTTTTCGGTTATTCTCTTGTTTTGAACTACATTCTTGGTTAAGGAAGGAAATGTATTAATCTTTACAGATTGTTGTTCCTTCTAACCTCTTGGACTCATGTAGTTTAGCCTGTAGAGAGAGGCCTGCTGTCAACCATGTTCCCAAGTAGGATTTAGAATTGTTAGTCACATAAGACCACAGTTTTAGTTTTCAGCAATCCAGACTTTGGCTTCATTCATGGAAGGGTAAGCAAAGGATGAATGGAGACCCCTATGTAAGGAATACACCTCTTTGGAATTCAGGCAGAGCAACAACTCAGTGAATTTACTGCAAATTCAAAAAGCCCAAGGTCTGTGCCT